CGTTCTATCCAAAGTTAAAGAGATGATTGACAATCAGTGAGTTTGGGACTGTTGACGTCTTCGACAAATGTGAATAGGGCCTTCTGTACTTCACTTGGAAAATTCGCTTCCCGATAACCAGTTTTTGTTTCGTTCCATATAAATGCAGTCTCATTTGTCATGCTTCTAGTTCGAAAAATACATCAGTCGACCAAACTAATTCGTCTAGGCATATCATCCTGAGCAGACGGTTCGTTCGTTGAATGGAGCTCGAAAGAGCGTCGAATAAATTGCACCATGTATTCGAAACATATTTTCATGTGTTTTAGACTACTCATACCCACTATATACATGCAGGAAGTTGCTCGTCATATGACACTAGATTCAAGTATTCATTCTGTGTATCCTAGCATACGTTCATCCGGAAATGCAAAACGTGAGGTTTAGGAACAATTGATAAGTCGTGAGGGCTGCTAATCTTAAGTGATCTTTTAAATCAAGGTTTTTCAATCTCCAGTCAATTTTGAGTGTGGATTTACAATAGAATGATCACGTGATAAATTTATGCTGGATTATGTATGATCATCTTTGTGTAAGTTCGTGGATGATTTGTGGTCAGTGGACGAGTCGACTGACTTCAGACGATGAGGAAAATCTGTGGCCAGTACAGATCTACATACCATCCTTATACCAGGTGGTCAAATGTGTTGTGGAAGAGAATGTCCATGAACTTACTATAACTGATGTGAAGACTTTTTGAGCGCGTATGTCTACAGGCAAGTGTCCACCAATATATTTTCGGGCTGTGGCATTCGATTGCAAGTCCTCAGTTTCCTAAGACAAAAACGTGAGGTGAGGGAATTCCCTATCTGAGACGTGCTCGTACCTAGAATCTGCTTTAGTAGTTACGGCCGGATTGCATTATATATGCAATATCTAGAAGTTGTTGATATATATTCTACTTACAATAAAAACAGGAGGAAGTAAGTGTTCTGCATTACAACTTCTATTTCAAAGGTGTTTGTTAATTCAGTTGATGGTATCTGAAGTCTTTTCCGGCGCTCGGCTGGCATTGACACAGACTGGAAGGCGGGTCAGTTTAATCTGTTTATTAGTGTGGGTAACAGAAATAAGGCTTCGCCCATTGTTATGATTTCTCTTATTACGACCCGGCTACTCTTATCGCTAAGTATTCCTGGAAACTACTTCACTTGACAAATCCCCAAATTAGAGCACGATTGAACTGGAACGTAATTATATTCTAAATAAAAATGGTTAGGTGGAAGTAAGTATCACAATAGGAAACCAGATAGTATACTTATGATTTTCTATAGGAAGATCACAGTCTCATTTAAATATCCGCTAGAGCTGATTGAATGATAAAAAAGGCCAACTGACGTGTCCTAACACAGTCCTGTACTGAAAATGTCCTAATCCAATCTAGATTTCGCTAAAACCCATCAAGAACAGAGACGTTCTATATGAACTATGCTCTGCCTGAAATCACAGTCCGAAAGAGCCAACATAATCTTATTCTGCCTTCACGCTTGCCGTGCTTTCATTAAAAAAGTAAAAGCCTGCAGACTAATAACGTGGTACTTAAACCAGTAAAAGTATTTTAGGGGTAAATCTTTGTTATTTAGTGGAAGCGGAGATTGTTGAACGGCCTGATTTAACATCTGGGCTACCTTCTCTGTCATCTAGATATTTCAACAAGTCATATGCTGTATTTGTTTTAATATATCATTTAGTTGTGGCACAGTGAGAATGTTTCCGCGCACATGTTACATGTTGTCGAAGATTTTTGACATCGTTATTTATCAGGTACTAACAGCATTTTTCCGTCTCACATGAAGTTTCGTAATGTTTATGTTTGTTACATGGTGGTGAGACTATAATTTATGGACGACCTTCGAGCGACGCTAAAGTGACCTTGAGAACGGATAGCTATAAACCAATTAGAATCATGATATACGGTTGGTGGTTAAGATTAAAAACTAGATTCAGGGTTTTCGTCACGAACTGACATCAGCTGTAATGCCAAAACTCTATTTAGTAAGAGCAAGAATTTGATGGAGTAAGATTCAGAATGAGTTATAACCTAACACGTGGTGCAGAAGATTTGTAGCTCAGGTGCATGATTTTGATGGAGTTTTTTCATATGCGCTGGATGGTTTAGTCATAGAGCTTTCATCGTTATTCCGAACGACAGCATCAGAACAAACATCAGGTAGGTGTGACTGCATCAAAGTCTAACGCGTATTAAACGTCGAAAACCAGATGCATTATAAGTTTATGGACGCATGTATGATAATTAGAAGTATTTGAGTCATTATACGAACTAGGAATTCCCAAAATAGCATAATTTCTACTAGACGCAAGTAGGTGAGTACAAATGAACGTATTGTGTTCAGAATTCGAAATCAGGCACACATCAAGTACTATAGAATCATTAGCTCATATAACTACAGCATATTCCTTCCTTCACATAGTTTTTCCTTTAATGCTGATTCACTTTGATGCATATATATGTACTACTTGCAACGTATTCATATCTCTTTGAAAGAGAAGCTTTGCAAAGATGTCGTTGGTCTCCAGAAGTAAACGATTGTAGGTATTTACTGGTGCCAGAATGAGTTAGAAAGTTAGCATGCCCAGTTGCCTTCGAAAGAAGTAAAGACTACATAGACATTAAATACAGCTCCCTGCAACTTACCATCATTAGTTAATCTTTCTATTGTTAACAAAATCAAGTTGCATTGCAGAAATGTCTCAGAGGATTAGTGGCTGTAAATAAAATAGTTGGCCTATGGCATGACTGCAGCTCAAGATAATACCGTTTGGTGTTATAGAAGACTGAATATAATATTATTGTTTTGAGCTTGTAGTGTAGCGTCGAGTCGCGGTTGACTAGGATCACAACTACAGGAAGACTACGTGCCAGTTAACCGATAAGATCTCTCGTAAGCTAAATATCAGAAGGCAGTTGATGGCTGTAGTCGAGATGTATTTGTTGGCGATCTCGTGGTTACGAAAGAATACCGAGATCGCGCCAGGTTACAAGTGTGGTTACTGAGCGCAACCGAATTCGTGCAAGGTCACAATCAATGTAAGGAAGAATGTCTTTAGTACAGTTAGGCAAACAAGTACAGTAAAACAATCACTGGTACAATTGGTTATAATAATAATTGATTCCATTAAACCAATCACGTTCTCTTGATAAAAGTAGGTCACTACAAGCTTAAATTTCCACTAGTCCTAGGTTTTTTTAGGACCTTAAAAATGATCGTCACATATTATAGCATCCTACAAGGGTGTTAGAACACTGTTCCATAGTTTCGTTTGCAAAGTTAGAAAGAATGTGTAGTTTATTACACATCCGTTTATGCAATATGTTCTCCTCCTTAAAGGTGGGTGGTAAAAATTGGTAATGTAGTGTGTATTAAGAAAAACACTTCAGTTTGCAGCACGATAAATGGAAAGGGAAAATTTGACCACCAAACAAATCTTCCCGTTTTTATCCGAAGATATTTTTTTTAATTTTTCGAAACCATGACATCCCGCTGATTGTGATATTTGACGTTAGAAAGAACTGAAAGGTTAGGGTCCGCGATACACCACTTCGCAGCAATCACTCACTTGCTTTCTGGAATTCAGTAGTTTCCAAATGAAGTTGGTTGATAAAAAATATGTTTACACCAATGCTTTTAAACACTGAATTCACCTTTATTTCATTTCCTTCTATGCGTTTACGTGATACTACCTACTATTAGTAAGTAGTTTCACTTATATGAAATCATTTACGTGTATTGGACATTGGATGATAGTGCTGAGAAACTATCACTTTGATTACATATTCTCTGTTCAAGTCATTCATTTGCTGCATTTCATTTTCATATCCGTTTACTCAAGAGATATGCATCAATAACTGGAGTTTGTGAATAGTTATGAGATGACTGTAGTACATCATAATGTCATCATTTATCGATTAGCAATCTATTTATGCATTCCCTTAAGAATTCCAAAGTATGCACAATGAATCTAAAAATTGTCCTTTAAAACAGTAGTTTATATGATTGTCTATGACTATGTATTGCTTTGTATGCAATGCTATGAACTGTGGTTGAATGGAGAGTAGCCCATAAAGCGCGAATATGAGAAGAGGAAATCACTATGCAATTAATACATATAGTTGCTTGGAATTTGATTGACTAGCTAAAAGGGTTGGAAGTGGTGCTTTCGAATCCTACACATCATGTGGAGATAAACTCAAACGAAAGACAAAATAAGTCGGAACTACAAATATGAAGCAATGATTAGATGCATATTACACATGTATAGTATGAGTTACAAAAATGGTTCATTCAACTAGTTAAGTTGAGTAAAATGTATATAATCAACATAAAATGTTGACTATCGATGGAACTAGTTACGTAAGTCATTATTTAACATCATAGAAGGAAATACCTAACATTGTTTTTGTGGTTATCCATTCAAAGTTATCTTTTCATGTAATACTATGTAATATGCTCTGGAACAGTTCTGAAGGGGTTCCATACTAGGATAAAATAACTGATCGTTACTACCTGGTCTTCAGTGACTCTCAACTCCCAAACTTAAGTCAACCAGTGACAATATACTACTACTACTACTACTAGTACTAGTACTAGTTACTTGGAATATCATTTATTACTATCAAAAAAAGTACCTAAAATTAATTTTTGTCATTATACTATCAAAGTAATCACTTTTTTTTTAAAAAAAAGATATATAATACCAAATATTATTACTATCGTCCATATTAAGAACAAACATTCATATTGAATTATATTGGTTAAGTAAAGGCACTTAATAAATAATCAATTAATTCACCAATCAAATGTATAAATTGATTAATGAACTCTATTTGATTGGTCATGTGAACTAAACCCATTTCTGGTTGGTTTTTTCTTCATTTTTTTTTCTTTCTTTATTTACTTATCTCATTATATTTCATTTTGTCAAATACATATAAAATAGTGGATTCATATTCAAACAGCGCCATCGACAACAATCACAATTATAACAACGGCAATTATTATTATTATTATCATTATTACTGAATGTATTATAGAATATGCATAAATTATATCCATGGTTTATATTAATAAGTGCTGCATTATCTGTCATATTTTTAGGTGGTAAACGTAGAGCATTTGGTATATTTATAGCAAAATTACATTCAGAATATAATAAAACAACATTAGTTGAATTAAATTGGATTGGTGATTCATATTCAGCATTAGGTTATTTAACAACATCTATCACAACATCATTGATTTTATATACAAATAAAAAATATGGTATAACACAATTTTTTGGTGCATTATTTATATTATTAGCATGTATAACTAGTTCATTTGTATTGAATCCACATTGGTTATTTTTAACACATACAATATTACATGGTATTGGTTCATCATTTATATTAAGTACATGTAGTTTAATAGTAAATGATTATTTTTATAAAAATCATCCATATCATATCTTGGCAACAACATTAGTATCTGGGGGTTCAGTTGCATCTATATTATTTATTGAATTTTATGCTTATTTAATTGATTTATATAATTGGAGATTAACATTTATTATACTTGGTATTATTTATTTTATTATATTATTTATTACTTCTATAATATTTTCTAAAAAGAATATTCTTACATCTCAATTATATAAAACTAACCAGTCTAATGATAATGATCATCATCAATGGAATCTATGGAATATATGTTGGAATTTATATTGGCAACAAAAATTATTATTATTACTATGGTTTATTGATAGAATCATTACAAGTATTGTTACATATGGTATGTTATTAAATTTAACTGATTATGTTTATCAACATGAAACATTATTACAAAATAGTATCTTATTAACTAATTTATTTGCATCCGGTGAAGCAACTACTTATATTATTGGTGCTCTATTAACTGGTTATACTAAAAATTTATTAAAAAATCAATTAAAATATATTTTAATACTATCCAGTATATGTATGTCAATTGGATTAATATTATGGGAATATTTTGCATGGAATTCTATTATCAGTATTATATTATCATATATGAATGGATTTTTTTTAGGACCATCTATAACATTTTTATATCCGGTTAGTGAAGAAATGACATTATTACCTGGTTATATATCATATTCATTATCATTAAGTGGTATGGGTATTGGTATGTTATTATCCCCATTATTATCAGCATTTATTGCTGAAACATTTCAATATCATTGGTTTTTTTTAATACAAGGTATTATTGTGATGATTAAATCGATATGTTTAATATGTTCATGGAGATTAATTAAATATTTAATACAATTTAATAAACATTTATTATATCAAAAACAACAACAACATGATCCCGATGATGATGATGAGGATGAGGATGATGAAGGAGAGCAAAAACAACAACAACAACGACGACGAAAACAACAACATCAAGAAGATCAATCTTTAACATTCAATAGTGAAACACAATGTTTAATCAGTCCAATGATAAAAAAACAATTGAATTCAAAAATGATTTAATTTCTTTCTACTTTTTTTTTCTTCTTATTCTACTACTCATTTATTTTGTTTTATTTTTTTTTTCGAATTTTGTTGTTATTGTTGGTAATTTGATATCTTGATGAAATATACTACTGATTATCGGTAAGTTATATTGAATATTTAAATAGAATTTGTTTTTTTCTTGAAATAGAATTATAATATTTATCATTCAAGTAAAGACCTGTTCATGTTACATTCTAATTTGTATAATACATTTATAACTTTAAGTGCCTCCAAATCGCCTGGTATGGCCGAGAGTGGGGTGAGCCCACTCTCCCTCTCGAAATGCTCTCATACGACTACGCGTATATAGCCTCTGTCAGAGAAGTCCTACCCTTATTACCTTCTCGTGACATTACTGTTGTTTACGAAATTGAGAGGACGAAAAGCGAATGTCCGGTGCTTTAACCGGATTCCAAACCAAACCAATGGTGCACATGGGCTCCAGTATCCTGCGGGAACAAATGGCGTATGAACCAATTGTTGGTCACCGGCTTCCATGGGACTGCACCTCCTCACGATGCTCCACTGCCTTATGGATCAGACCTTTAAGTCAAAGGCTCCAGGTGAGGCTTCCTATGAAAACCACCTGCTTCGGTTTGGGCACCCAGGCAGTATCACAGCCCAAACACACACAAATATGGTGTGGTGCATATATATTTGGTGCCCTCTTGTACCAATATTTATGTGTTGAAATAAAATAAATAAATAATAATAATAACTTTAAGTCAGTATAGGGGTTGTGTAGATTATTAAGTTTTCTTATTGAAATCATGAACATGTGCTCACTAGTGACTAGCTTCGTGAGGGAATTCTAGGAGTTCTAGTAAGAAGCCGTGACCAGTGAAGCTAATCCGTGTCGGGTACAGACAGGTATCTACCTCAGTACAGTGTATTGGTTGAGGTTAGACATTAACACCATTGGGTGCCAGCTCATTGGTCCAGTAGGTTAAGCGTTCGCGCGCAAGACTGAAGTTCCTGGGCTCGAATCCTGCGACGGGGATCGTGAATGAGCACTACTGAGGAGTCCCACAATAGGACGAAACGGCTGTCCAATGCTTCCAGGTTTCCAACGGTGGTCTAACATCAGTTGGTTCATAGTTCCAATCAAAAAAAATATAAATTTAAGTGTTTAATTTGTGCATGATCTTTGAGCAACGCTGAAATGAACTTGAGAATGAACACCTACTGATTAGGACTAAATGTGAGTTGTAAAACAGTTAGAATTCTCATTTACAGTTGATAGTTAAGTTTAGGAATTAGATTTAGGGTTTTCATCACAAACTTATATTAGCTATAATGCCAAAACTCTATTTAGTCAAATGTAGAGATAAATTTCGCGCCAAAATTCGTGACTGGTTATCTTATATCTGATTGGTTCGTCCATAAATTATAGTCTTGCCCTGGAAAGGTGATCAGAATGAAATCTCATAAAAATATAACCGTACTAATGTTTAAACCATTTGGAATAGTTTTTCTATTCCATTTACTACATATACATACTGGTACAACTAGTCACCGAATTAAGTATGCTCCATACATATAGAGAAGAGAGGGGACGTTATATAAATAACAAATCTAAAGATAAGAAATGGTGATTTATAGTGAGAGATGTAATTCAGATGAAAATACAACTGTGAAAATCTTTTTTCAGATCATATAACTCCTCTTACTCTGGTGAGGAATGTAAAAAAAACTTTTGAAAGATCTCGATTAGTTTTTGATTTTAGTCATGTCTATAAACGTCTCAAGTGATTGAGCTTCACCATTCCTAGGACATTAATCAAGGAGTTGTGATACACTGACAGTTGTCACAATACGATGTCATAAATTAACTATGTCTATAATCAGTTTAAGCGTTAGGAAATAAAGTACAATTTGGAAAGCTTTAAGATAACATTTTTAAATCATATCCAAACCATCGAAATCGTTGTACCCATATTACACAATAGAAGTACAACTAAAGAGTTCATAAACGTCAAAGTCTAATTATAAGCCGCAATCAATAATAAACACTACATAATCTATAATTATTTCATGTTTATATTCAATAATAAGTGTAAACTTAAATATTTCAGTGTGTTTCACTCAATATATCACTCAGAAAACTTACTATTTAATGTTTATAGTTGTGGGCAATTCACCACAAATCGGAGTAATGAGGTTCAATTTTCCCTCTAAAATAGTAATCACCATCATGTAACAGTAACCTACAATGTTTGTCAGGCTTCATTTGATGAATAGTTTACGTCTAACATGTATTTATTCATTAATATGTCACATAAATTATAAACTCGCGGATACGCACTGCTGAGGAGTCCCATACTAGGACGAAACGGCCGTCTAGTGCTTCCAGGTTTCCAACGGTGGTCTAACATCAATTAATTCATGATCTCAACCAAAAAAACTTAACAATCTCCACAACCCCCATACTGATAATTAACATGTGCTCACTAGTGACTAGCTTCGTGAGGGAATTCTCGGAGTTCTAGTGAGAAGTCGTGACCAGTGGAGCTAATCCGTATCGGGTAGAGACAGGTATCTACCTCAGTACAATCGAAGGTGGTCAAGCAATTTCGTGAATCGGTTGATGTTAGACATTAACACCATTGGATGCCGGCTCAGGGGTCTAATGGTTAAGTGCTCAGGCGCGAAGCCAGTAGGTCCTGGGTTCGAATCCCGCGGGGTGCGGGATTATGGATGCGCACTGCTGAGGAGTCCCATACTAGGACGAAACGGCCGTCCAGTGCTTCCAGTTTTCCAACGGTGGTCTAACATCAATTAATTCATGATCTCAACCAAAAAAACTTAACAATCTCCACAACCCCCATACTGAAAACTTGTAATTATTAAATCTTTGAACTAATCATTCTGCTACACTACACTAACTGTTTATTGTTTGATAATAGATTAAAACATTCTTGTTTGACACTGATATGCACGCCTTGTATACATGAGATCGACCTGTTACTTGAATGAGAAGACAAGATGTGAATTTAACCATTTCAGACAGAATTCGTAACCGGTAGGGTTTAAATTTCTGGAGAATGCTGGTGAGCGGCCTATGCTCCTTCACGAGGAGTAACAGGCGTAAGTAAGTGAGTAAGTAAGTAAGGGTTTAAATGTATTAGAAATAAGGTGATCTATCCATATTGAAATTCGGTCGAAAACCTAAACTATAGAATGACAGCTACATAGTCTAAAACAACGTTATCGTTGAAGATTCTAAAGATTCCGAATTCAATTACTTTGGAGATTATAAATACCTATTACTGTAAACTGTCCAATCATAACGAAACGGCTTTTTATACTGGACTCATTTTCAATGATGTTTTTGATACTATCAATCTGTATTGTCATTAATTAGATAGTCAATTTCACTTATCTAACATGTTTAATAAAAGTGTATACATCTAAAACTAGTTCAGCATTGGTAAAAGCTTAACTTTATGACATTCAATCTTTATGCTAATCTTTAGGTCAACTAACTATAAAGTAATCAAAAACGAATGGGATTAGAAATATAAAACTGTCCAAATGACAAATTAGACAATATTATCCTTCACTGTTTGTCAGGAATAGAAAGAATAAGAGATCAAATAATCCCCTCAATTGTAAGTACTTCTCTAATGATTATACAACAACAAAAAAAGGAAATCAATCTTAAAATCAGATCTCTCAATTCTGTATTATTATGTAAGTAATATACATATGAACTGTAAAATGACAGTAGGGGTAAGCTAATTGATCAAAATGTTTGATGTTAAACAGTTTTGACATAGTTCTATAATTCTTATCTACAATATTCATGATAGATATAAACCTACTTGATGTGTCTTTGACTATTTATTTCAATTTTTACATATGACTGAGGGAAGGGGTTTTTATTCAAACATTAAAAGAAATCGTCTTCAACTAGTTGTCACCGATTTTCAATAATCCTTTAATGAATGTCAGTTCATTGTGTTATAAGTTAATTTGAACATGGATCAACATGTACAAATCACAAAACTTGACAAAAATGATATACACACCAATAATCGATGTGTTTAATGTAGTTGATTATTATTGTTGTCATGAGGGGTTGTAACTGATAGAGTCCTCTCATGTGCGTTGTGATGGAATTGTATGATGTATGAAATGTCCTAAAGGAATTATGCTTATTATGAAACCTGTATGTATTGAATGTGAACTATTAGATTTTTCTTGTGTCTTTTGAACCAGCGTTACCTAAGCTAACATCTGAAATGTTACCACTAAACTATTCGTATTAGGAATGACCTGATGTAAGAGATCATGTCACAACATTGGTTATCATTCAATGAATAGTTAGTCGTGAAAGTACTGGAATAGAATCACTGTCTAGTAGTTCTTAAATGAAAATTGTTCTACTGTTGGTATCAGTTTATGATGAAAACAATATGAGAATGAGATATTGCACACATTTTGCTGTAATTACAATATCCATTTTTATATATTATCATTATTACTACTATTACTAATTAAGTAGTAAACAGTACGTTCTTCAAAAATATACATGTAAAATAAATGTATTTGTAGTTGACGTGTTATCATCAGTTGGTTGATATAATTCAATGTACATTGAATAAATGTTGCTTCATTTCCTTCTATCCATATGTGAATAGAATCACAAAATTGATATCATTCAGTGATATGATCGAATATAAACTTGTATAGTAAACTGTACATCATATTTTTGGTTCATGTTTCCAAGGATAATGATGAATAGTGGAATGCAATGTTTACTTTTTATCTTATTTACGTTTCTTAAGTTGATAGATGCATTTATATTCTAGTGTTGATATTCTCACTAAGCATCAATCCAAGTATCTAACTGTTCAATCGTTAATGCATTATCTACTAAGTAATAATAAATATCAGATTAAATAAGAAAGAAAGATTAGTTCAGCGAAGAGTTCTCTTTTCGGCGAATTCATTTTCAAAGCTGTACAATCACAGATATATATACTTATTTTTACAGGGTGATAATAATACTGATAATAAACTTCTATTATACATGGTGACCTTGTGGAGCTAGGTATATAGGTCGTTCGATGCGTACTTTATCCAAAAGAATTCAAGAACATTGTCCGGCGTGGCTAAAAAGAGGAGGCAACGGCTCAATAAGAAGTTCTATAATCGAACACCTTGTGAACACAGGTTACTCAATCAAGACAGACTCTGCGTTCAAAGTCATCTACAAGGTAAGTAGAAGACTTCCTAAGACAATTAGACTGCATCTTCTTTGCATTGCCGAGGCAATAGCCATACATTTTGAAAAACCAGAAATATGTGTACAAAAGAGTCTGGTACAACCTCTTCTTTTACCATGGTCTTAATGCATTAAAAATTTTTTTCATTTCTCTTTCTTCATACTCTTGTTCCTTTACAGCCACCTGCTTCACCTTCCATCTTCCCTTCAAATCTCCTACCCCCAACCGGTTTGTTTTTATTTCCACGATCATTCCGATTACATTTCATCTGTGTTTCAACATTTTGTGTTATTTTATCATGCTGAGCCATCCTTACCCCATGAATACTTAAGCCATTAACAATCAAACGACTATTAAACTTTTCTTGTTTTAAAAGAAATTTTTTTAATACCTTTGTTTATTTAACCTCACTGTCACCACGTATAACAGAAATTTTTGTTCGACTGTTTCAAAAGAGACCATGATGTCGGAAACTAATATTTTCGTTTATTGTAATGAAATTAATAGAATCGAAAAGTTTCAAAAAAAAGGGAAAATATGTGCCTTGAGTTTGATTGCTTCCCGGTTATTCAACAGCGTTACTGAAATTGTAATTAAAGGAATCCAGTTATCATACACAAATGTTGATAAATCATTACACTGAAAAGAAATTCCAAGATTAGAGTTCTGCAGGAAAGCATAATAAAATGTTTACATGATACTTCTATATGACATTAGTCATTTTATATCACATAATAACTAAATATGCAATAGTAGTCCGTTATAATTAAAGTGGAATATAACACATATGTGTACCGGTCAATATCACTACGTTTAATCGGCAACCTACTTACTTACGCCTGTTAATCCTCATGCAGGAGCATAGGCCACACACCAACACTAACCATCCAACCCTGTCATGGGCAATCCTTTCAAGCTCTTTACAGTTGTTAGTCATCTTTTTTATATCTGCTTCTATTTCGCGACATAATTTGTTTTTTAGCCTTCCTCTTCTCTGCTTCCCTTCAGGATTCCAAGTTAAGGCTTGCCTCGTGATGCAGATTGGTGATTTGTGTAATATATGTCCTATCCATTTCCATCGTCTTTTCCTAATTTCCTCTTCCGCTGAAAGCTGTTTTGTTCTTTCCCACAGAAGGCTGTTGCTGATGGTATCCGGTCAATGGATGTTGAGTATCTTTCGTCGACAACTATTTATAAATACTTGTACCGTTTTGATGATCGTTGTTGTAGTTCACCAAGTTTCAGCTCCATACAGTAGAACTAATTGTCTTGACGTTCATATTGTAGATTGTGACATTTGATATTAGTTGAGAGTTGTTTTGAGTTCCATGTGTTCTTCAATTGTAGGAATGAAGCCCTTGCTTTGTCGATCCTCGCCTTTACGTCTGCATCTGATCTTCTTTGTTCATCGATGATGCTTCTTAGGTAAGTGAAGGATTCTATATTTCCCAGAGTTTCGCCCTCAAGTGAGATTGGGTTAGTGTTAGCGGTATTATATTTGAGAATCTTGGTCTTTCCTTTGTGTATGTTGAGGCCTACTGATTCAGAGGCTGTTACTACACGAGTTGTCTTCATCTGTATTTATTCGAGTGTATGGGATAGGAGAGCTAGGTCATTTGCGAAATCGAAATCGTCTAATTGGTTTTGATCTATCCACTGTATTCCATGTTTTCCCACAGATGTCAAGGTCTTCATAATCCAGTCGACCATCAGAAGAAAGAGGAAGGGGGAGAGTAGCTAGCCTTGTCTGACTCCGGTCCTTACTTAGAATGCATCTGTCGGGTGTCGCGTAAGTAAATAAGTAAAATGTTTAATGTAACAACAATAATATCTTAACAATTAATATCATACCTTGATAAATAAAGTAGATAGTTGTGTAAAATTAATCCTAATCTCTTTAGTTACGTTGTAACGAACGAGAACACCAATGAGAACAACCAAGTGTATATGAACACAGAATTACAGAAATGCTTAGTAAAATCTAAGAACCTTACAACAAATACATCATTTGCAAAATATCAATCAATCATCTCAAACTTGACTATTCCTTCATTTTCACACCAATCATTCACTGCTCCCATTCTCTTTTTCTTCGATTGTCTTCATCTTCTACCGCCAGATATTTCATTTTCGACGGATAGATCAAACATACTACTTATATCCATTGACATCAGTAGTATACAACACAATCGAAATATTCATTTCTTACCAAAGTTATTCATTCATTCATTCATTCATTCACACATAATAAATAATTCATAACATTAATAGATATTTATAATCTTAGCAACAACAATAACAACAACAACAACAACAAAAATCATTCATCTAAAACTTCTTACCAATTTAACCTAATTTTTAACCAAGTGATAGGGTTTTTCGTTAGTTACTATTTATAGTATAATTAGTCAAGTTAAAAATAGAAACTGGGCTACTATTTAAAATGGGATATTTTTGATTTGTTATTTTATAAACTTGAACATTATTTGTTTCATTGAATAAATGATAATAAATAGAATTCATTAATCACTGGTTGAAATCATCAGTCAATTGAAGCTAGACCACCATGAAAAACCTGGAAGCACTAGACGGACGTTTCTTCCTAGTATGGGACCCTTCAGCAGTGCTCATTCACGATCCCGCCTCACAGGATTCAATACAAGGACCTAGTAGTCTCGCGTGCGAGCGCACTGCTGAGGAGTCCCATACTAGGACGAAACGGTCGTCCAGTGCTTCCAGGTTTTCCATGGTGATCTAGCTTCAATTGACTGATGATTTTAATTAGTGAAATTTCTAAAATCTCCATAAAACTTCTTCTGATATTGAGTTATTAATTAATTAATACTTAATTAGATAAAAGATAATAAAAATGATGGATTAATAATTATCAGGGGTTTTGTGGAGATTTTAGAAATTTCACCGGTTGAAATTATTAGTCAATTGAAGTCACACCACTATGGAAAACCCGTAAGCGGTGGACGGCCGTTTCGTTTTACTCCTCAGTAGCGCGCATCGACGATTCCGCACCCCGTAGAACTCGAACCCAGGACCTACCAGTTTCGCGCCAGGCACTTGACCAAGTTGACCACTGAGCTGGCGGGTATCCAACGTGTTAAGGTTCAACTTCAATCAATCCATGAAGTTGCGCCATCGTACACCATTATCTTCAGTGAGTTGACTTCTCACAACAGACCTGGTTGAACTTTACGGGTAACAACTTCTCACTAGAACTCCAGGAGTATCTCTTGAAGTCAGTCACTAGTGGGCAGATGATTATAATCAGAAATGGTTTTGTGGAGATTTTAGAAATTTCACTGGTTGAAATCATGAGTTATTGTATTGTTTCTGTTGTAGCTGACTAACTGAACTGAAAGATAAATGTTAAAAGTCGATTTGATTTAATAGTTGAATTCATGGAAAACTTAGAAGCACTGGACGGCCGACTATGTTCTAGTATGAGACTCCTAAGAAGTGAACATCGATGATCCCACTCGCGGAAATTAAACCAAGGACCTATCGGTCTGATATCGATCGCGAACATCTAACCTCTAGATTACTAAGCCGGAATCCAACGGTGTTAATGTCTGACTTCAAAGATTGAATGATTTTAATCACAAACATTGTTTCGTCTTGAATTTCATGTTAAACTGAAGTTAATCAACTGATGTTAAGCAGTAATCTGAAAATTCTGAGTTTGCATCAAGTCTGATAAATAACAATAATGATGAAATGAGGAAAAGATAGCTAACTTGGTCGTTAAATATTATTTATATCACTGTGTTACTCGGTTTGATTTATTTTTCCTGAGTAGCGTTTTTTAGCTAGTTAGTTTTCTACGGGATAGGGTTGCTAACCCCATGCCAACCCTCCTCCTTCATATGAGTTTGGGACCGGCAGTAGCTCCGGAGGGGTCCCAGGCGGAGGAGTTAATCAGGAAGAAGCGCTAGAAGAGAATAGGACACACATTGAGGAAAGCACCCAACTGCGTCACAAGACAAGCCCTCACACATCATGCCAAGAAATGGAGACAGACATCAGTAGAATAAACAACAATGGAATGGAACTAGAAATGAAGGCCCGGAACAGAGTGGGTTAGAGAATGGTGGTTGGTGGCCAATGGTCCATTGTGAGTATGAGGCATATATAAGTAAGTAAATAACTCTGGGTAAGTTTACGAAAGGCTGTTGGCATTAAACAATTTTAAGAGTGACCAATCAGAAGAAAGCTTACTTCTTGATAGTTATTTGCACAAAACTTATCAAAACATCAAAGAATAAGAGAGTTAGGAATAGTTCGGGAGAAAACTTTTTTTTAGAAAAAAATATTGAAAAGATTAATCATTTGTACTGCTTATTTGAACCTTATCATTGATACTTAGATCTGGAATTGATCAATCACTTTTGGCATATCTGCATCCTGCGCGGATCGCTTAGATATTGCCATTAAGTATAATGCCTCATAAGCACAGGTAGTTGGTGGCTAGTAATAGAATCCAAAACGCGCATTCCATCCTATTTGGGATTCTACGGTTTTATTTGACGTCAATCTTCAACTACAATGCATCTGTGGGCTGCTTTCAATGCACGGATTTGCAGTGCACCGAATCGTAACAATTCCATATGATAGTGGCAATCATCTCACATAGATCATGATGTCGAAAACGATTCCATCAGGTTCTAATATACACTCTGTTCAATGCAATCTCATGAACTAGGAATTCGATGTGTGGTGATAAGTTAAATTTTTTTATTTTTTCAACAATGATCGGTTGTGTCACACATTGGTGGGTCCATGATTGATTCTTATCAAAGTCAGTCTGATGATTTCAATGTCAATTGTCCACTAGATTTTTCACTCATTTCAGTAACACTGTTGAAATGTTTGCCTGATACTAATAGCGTTGTGATGCCTCTGTGATTCTGTAGTTATCACAGATACAGTGATCTCCTTTCATCGGTATCTTGATGAGGTGCCCCTCTTCCCGGACTGTCGATACTTGTTCTCCAACCTCAGTATTTTTAAAGAGAGAAGGTGACATCTTTGTATTTGCCTCTACCTCAAAACTGAGTGATTGAGTTTGTGTGATTTGTGGTTCTGGTGTTGCACCACACCTGATTTGTCAGATGTTTTTGCTGATTTGTTCCGCTGTTGGTGCTCTAGCATTCCTAGGTAGGTCTGTATGTGTGGCTTCGAAGTCCTTGTCTACGATTGATTACAGTCTCTTATTAGACTGATCTTAATCATTCGCATTACTATCACAATTTGGTTCATTGCACTGAATGTGAATTACTGTAATCCGCTCTATTTTCGTTTTGATGGATGTTTTGATGATTCTGGATCCACCCAATTCTCATCCAATAAGTTCTGTCCGTGCTTTTCTTGACACATCAGAGCAAATTCTTGTGTGTGCGAAGCAGTTTCTTCTTTGT